GCTTCACCTTCTAACTACTGCCCTTCCTTCGCCTTCCTCTCACAGCCATGATCCTAGAAGGTTGTCTTCACAGGCCGTGTGCATCCACTTTCACATCCTCATCGCACAGTCGCTACTAAGTCCACTACAGTCTGACTTCTGCCAAACCCACTGAAACTGTTCATATTAATAGTACCCATGACCCAACTGCAAATTCAGTGGAAGCCTTTTGGTCTAAATTCATCTCCCCATTTCTCCTGCCCCTATCTACTTCCCTGCTGTATTAGTGAAAGAAACCTGGAAGTCATTCTAGAATCTACACCCCCTTTATAATTCCACCCCATTCAAATCACAAGTCCTGCCTCCTAAATACATCTAGAATTTATCTCCTGTTTTCATGCCACTGTATAGATCAAGCCCTGATGCTGCAGTTCAGGCTTCTAACCACCATCCATCCATGCAATCATTCAGCAAGTACACATTGAGCAGCTGCATGTGCCAGGCACGGTTGTAGGTGCTGGCCTTGGAGTGACGGACAAGACTGATAAGGCCTGCTCACTGGAGCTCAAATTCTTGGAGCCCCAGACAATAATGAGAAAATAAGCAAACAAGATAAATAGATGTTGTGAAGCAAACAAAACAGAGTGATATGATAGAGAATGGCTGGGTGGGTATTTTAAATTCAATATTAAAATATATCTGGGGGAGGCTACTTCAGTTGGATCCCTAGGACAGGACTCGCTGAGAAAGTGACAAGAAGCCATCTAGGGCACTGTTGGCTAGCTAAATATGCAATTCCCCAGCCTCCCTTAAAGAGGAAGCCACGTACAGTTTTGGCCGATGCAATGTTGGTGAAAGTTGGCGGGGATGGAGGGGTATTCTGGAGAAGCTTTTGCTTTCCAGAAAAGAAAGACAAGGGTCACTGACACAGTCCCTTCCTGATCCTCCTGTGACCATGAAGGAAAGAGAGGAAACTACAGAGAGGCGGGCCCTGAACCAACACCAGCAGCCGCCACCTCCAGACTTGGTATGTGAGAAAAGCAAGGCCCATTTGATTAGCAGAGTTTTCTTTCGGCACAGAGCATCCCAACCTGGACCACCAGCCCTGTAGATCAGGGGAAGAGAAATGCAGGCAGAGTTCAAAGCCCCTACAGTGGGAACTACCTTGGCATGTTTGAGGAAGAGAGAAAAGATCAGTATGGCTGGAGCATAGTGAGGCGGAGAGAAAGAGTGGAAGACGTCTGAGAGGTGGAGAGGGTTTTGCAAAGCTCTGTAGCCCCTGGAAAGCCATCTGGATTTTATTTTAAGTGCATGGAAAACCATTAAAGGGTTTTATGCAGGAGAGTGACATACTCTGATTTAGGTTTCTTGAAAGATCCTTCTAGCTGTGACATGGAGAATGAATCAGGGAGTGCGGGTGGGGCAGGCACTGCTTTGGGGCTGACCCAACAGCTGCCCCTGCCCCTCCTTTTCTCTTGCCACCTTTTGCTCTACAATCTAGAGGAGTTAAATGTTCCCTTTCCTGGTCTCTGTTGCACTTGGGGTGGACCACATGACCCTGGTCTGGCCTGTGAGACCTGGGTGGGGAGGACTTTCAGGAAAACTTTTCTTTCCTGATAAAAAGGGATAGACTCAGCTGGTGTGTCTCTCCTTCCATCTCTCTGCCTGGAGTACAGAAAGGGCCTCTGGGAGTGCAGGAGCCCTCTCACAAAGGTGAGACCATAGGCTAAGGCTGAAAGATGGAAGCCTGGTAGGAGTCCTTGTCGACATCATTAAACTTTTGCATCTTGCTTACTGCCAGACTTCTTATTAGGTGAGCAAAATAACCCCCTACTTGCATAAGCCACTGAAAATTGGGTTTTCTGTTGCATGCAGCTAAATACGTTCTCAACTGACAGAGTGGGCAGGAGGGCCAGCAAAGAGACCAGTAAGACGTAAATGAAGTGGTGCAGGGGAGAGACAGTGGTGGCTTGGACTATGGCGATTGTCTCCCTACAGGTCTTTCCATTTCTAGTCTTAGTTTCCTCCAATTTGTCTTCCACACTATGACACTTCATAAATGCAAATCTCTTCATGAACTCTACTTGGCTTAAAATTCTTTGCTGGCTGTCCATTGCCTACACGATAAAAACTAACCTCATTTGCCTAGTACACAGTTCTCTTTGTGATTTGTCCCCACCTTCTTGTCTGACATCTTCTCGCACTACTCTCCCACTACTCCCACTCTTGCACTTTACACACCTCCAATAAGACACACCCCTAGTGAACACCTCCCACATGCCAGGCACTCTCCATTCTTTATCCCTAATACAACAGCCCTGAGAGGTGGGTATTAGATGTCTTAGTTTACAGATAAGAAACCTAATGCTCAAGGAAGTTAAATGGGTTGGCCAATGCCACACATCTAATAAGTGGTGGGTCAGAATTTAAACTCTGGTCTGATTTCAAAACAAGTTGGGGATTTACTTTTCTCACTTGCCAAGAAGTCTGAAGGCAGGTGATTGCTGGCTGTTCAAGTGCTCAAGATGCCATTAGGGCCTCAGAATCTTCTGATTTTTCCTCTCTGCCACTTCAGAAGATTGGCTCTCACCCTCCTGCTTGTTGCTTCATGGCCTTAAGATGGCTGCTCGGCTCTAGACAGCACGTTGAGGTTCAAATCAGGAAGAAAGGGGAGAAAAGGAAGGGAGGGCTACACGAGATTAATTTGTCACGTCCCTCTCTTGCCCCTTTTTTTTTTTTGCTTAAGAAAGCAAAAGTGGGCCAGCCCCGGTGGCCTAGTGGTTAAGTTCTGTGCATTCTGCTTTGGCGACCTGGGTTCAGTTCCTAGGCACAGACCTACACCACTCGTCTGTTAGTGGCCATGCTGTGATGG